TGTACAAGTGTTCTAATAATAGACTACGAGATGAACATCCCCAAGGTGTTCTGAACGGGTGGGTCTAACAATCTCGCACACGCACTAGGCAAAATGTCCTTAGGTAAAACTTCTTTACGCGTATTGACCGGTCACAGAATTAATAGCTGCTTTGAAGTGCTTAGGTATTTGATTGTGCTGGAGAAGCGAGTATTTGTTGCGTGCGTTCTGGCTGATTTTGTCCTTCAACTGATTTGATTTTCATTTCAAAAGATTCACAGATACGAAGTAATGCAAGATAGAAACAGTGTAAGTATTAATCAGTAATGTGAATTTCGTTGCACTTCTGAATACTGATAATCTGTGGGCATTGCAAACAATGGGTAGAAAAATTTTGCTTGTAGAAAATGAACTAATAAATTTCTGCTGAAACTCAGTTCTCCTCATTTGTGAGCGGTGATCAAAATTTAATAACGTACGCCTAAGTGGTAATCTCGGTTCAAACTTCGTCTTCAGAATTTAATCAGAATTTCTAAGAATTCAACTTCACTCCAAATGTTCACCATTTATTTATTGATCATCTCCGTTTATGAAATTCTTAAGTGTTGTTATTTCTTGTAAGCTAGCATACGTCCGTTTGACGACAGTACTTGACCCACAAAAATTTCATATAATATGGATTCGTTCTTTACTCTCCGCTCATTTTTCCTATAATCGTTGTTCATTGACTAAATATCAGATAACTAATATTGAAGCGCTTAGGTATTATGATTACAAAAAAGGATTTGTTTCTCCTGACGATAAATATCTTATGATAAATACTCCATGGAACGTTGAGGTGCAGCAACTTTATTGCTTTTAACATAGCTGGTTGCAAGAGCCTTTATGGATGTTATGCTCAAAAGAAATGTGATAGAATCAGCGATATTCTCAAATGAAATTTTCATTTTGATGTTTACTGAATATGAACGAAAAAAGTCGAAAAATTTTTATCAGAGAAACATATGATGGTGGTATTTTCGTCGAATTATTGTAAGCGATTTCTTAAGCCTTAGATGTGATAGTTGTCAATATCAGTAACATTGAATTATTTCAATGGGCCTATTTCTATCATTTCTGATCGCTTTTATTGGTGCTTTTTCAGTGAAACTGGTGAAGCAGTTTATGAGGCGACTGTTCCGGACACGATCACCTCTTGGGTGGCAAGTGCTTTTGCTATCAACGATGAAACCGGTCTGGGAGTTGCACCTTCAACTTCAAAGGTCACCGATTTGTTTAAGATAGTGTTTACATATTATAGGAATGCTTAAGCATATATGATTTTCACATTCGACCTCATACGATGATAAGTTAACGTTCATTTGCCGAACCGTCCTCTTCTAATCGAACAAAAATGAATACCGTTGAATTTATCTTAATGAACATGAAAAAACCAAAGCAATTTTGTATTGATTGGGATCGAAATAATTCTTGCTGCCGTTACCTTCAAGGGTGCTTCTGCATTCAACTGGACTGTGTAGAATGCATAAAACGCATGTTTGGTCGTATCAGAAATTTTCAACGGTATTTATTTAGATTATAAAATCTTTCATATCAATGATTTGTGCGAATTTATGATCGAATGTCAGACATTATTATGAAGGGACTGCTCAAATCTTTTTTCTTCAGTTGACTGTATTCCGTCCGTTTTTCATTCGACTAAACATACCGTATTCCGTGAAACGAGGCGAGAAGTTTGCGCTACAAGTACTCATATTCAATTATATGGATACTGAGCAGGACGTAGGTCGCTTTCTTCTCTAATATAATGCAACCTTTTCTATCCCAAAGTTATCACTGAAATAACATTTCCCGGGGTCATTTTGCTTCTGTTTTTTTTGTTTCGTGGAGTACTTCAAGTGAGATTGTTTACCAAAAACATTGCTGTCTCATTTCTAAGGAAGGTCGAAAAAAACGAATTTATTTTTGTTGATCATTTACATCACTGCTTAGAAGAGAGTCAAAGAAGGTGATATTTAAAGGTCACTGTTACGTTGAAACACGATGATGGCGCTGGCTTTGATTTCTTGCAGAAAGATGGTACCTCTAAGAAACCGCTAAGGTGAGCCAAATGTTTTAAAATGGAATTGTGATAATCATATGAATTCGTTAATCGTTTCAAACCGAAGTGTCGTAGTCGATTAATCAAAAATGGCAAGTATTGACTAAGTTTTCGTTGACTAAATTATTTAAGATGAAACAGTAATGAGAATGTAAATTGTTGCAGTAAAGATTCAAAATCAAAGAACTACAACATGCGCTTAATATCGGTCCCAGGAGGAGGTGTTTCAAAGGCTGTTTATTTCCCAATCGTGCCTACGCAAATTGGTGAGGTAAAATTGTCTGTTGTTGCGCAATCTGCAAAGGCTGGTGATGCGGTTGAGCAACGTCTTAAAGTGGAAGTATGCCTTACTTATTTCATTTATGTTAATTGTTTGCAGTTATTGATTGTCTCATTGACCTGATACCATGATTATTATTTATTCATTGATTATTCATCAAGTCTAGAATTAGTATCTTGTTCAGCCTGAAGGGTATCGCGTTGATCGAAATATACCGATGATTATTGATCTGTCTGAGAAAACGGCATTCAGCAAGGAAATTGATTTACAATATCCACATGATGCAGTTGAGGGCTCGAAAAGAGCTCGAGTTGATATAATCGGTCAGTTTGGTTTCATTGACGGTTCTCATGTAAAACTACCTCAATCAAAATTTTTTGACTGTCTCTCTTGATTCTGACATCTTTTCATCTGCTGAAACTTCATTAAGACCAGCAGATGTGCGTTTTTTAATACGATGGTTTCATTATTGTTCCATCCACATTTTCAAAGATGCATAAATTCTGCAAATCTTCAGGTGATATTATGGGCCCGATATTGGCCAATATTGATGCCTTAGTACAAATGCCTTATGGTTGTGGGGAACAGAACATGATCAATTTTGTGCCGAATATTGTTGTTCTAAGATACTTAAAGGCAACAAAACGAGCTGGTGCACAGATAGAAGCGAAAGCTCTCAAGTATATGGAATCAGGTTATCAGAGAGAGCTTACTTATAGGTGCGTTTTTTGTGATTTTCATCTATTTTTCAAGTTCAGGAAGTGGTGCATTTCAAAATCTCTGGGTTATTATCACATGGTGTGCGCCTAAAGTGTGCTGTTTCATGCCATAAATAAAGTGATGAGTACCAAAACCTATAGTCTTACCCTTCAGTTATACGAATGATTGCATATCTTACAATTAGGATGCATTCAAATGCGACTTGATTAATAGCTTTCATATCGAGGTGTTTCAAAATATTTGAAATGGTGTTTTTAGAAGGGATGATAATTCTTTTTCCGCATTTGGTCAACAAGATAAACATGGTTCAACCTGGTTGACAGCATTCGTCGTACGCTCTTTCAAACAAGCACAATCATTTATCTTTGTTGATGACCAAATTCTACAGAAAACATTCGCTTTTCTCAATGCTCAACAGGAACAAGTAATCTATTATGATCGTTGCATCATTTTGTCGCACTCTACTGCCTCCTGTTTCTTTAAAAGGATGTTCATGGAATGCGTATTTGCTTATAAACTCAAGTGTTGAGTAATTAAAGAGGTCGTGAATGAATAATGTGCTGATGTATTATCCCAGGAGAATGGTGCGTTTGCCGAGCGAGGTGAGGTGCATCATAAAGATATGCAAGGTGGTGCTGCTGAGGGTGGTGTGCCTCTAACTGCCTACGTTTTTATTGCATTCCTTGAGAATGGCGTATGTCCTCAATGTTATCTCATTTCTTCTTTTTCCGAAGCACTCCCTTAAATCTCACATGACTTAAATTTTTATAGCACTGGAGACAAGGCCGACCTCTCAGGCCCGGTTTTATATATTTGACCATGTACTCCTAATAAGCTGATTTTTAATGAAATTTCAACACATTTTGATGCTTGTTAATGTTATGAAGAAAAAAAATTTTTTTCAGCCTGAGAGATCCGGTTTGTTTCCGATGCTATGAAATGTTCTAAGTTGCGCGCATGGTCCGGGAAGAGAACTTTTTCCTTTTCTTCTTAGTTGAGACCAGGAAAATAACGCAAGTCATGGAATCTCAGATCTGTGACTGCAATATCCATCAACCTGTGACAAACTGAATGTTGGAGCCGGATCTCCCATATCTGTTCGTTGTGCGAGGATCAATCTCCTTTTTACACAAATCGAATCAAGATTGGCTAACGCCATAGAGCCTTGCCGTAGCTCGCCGCTTAGCTGAGAAAGAAATTGTTCATCGATGAAAATTAGCTCCGTGAAGTTGTGCATCTAATTTGCTGAGCTGTACTTCGAGAATGGCTTGTAGTACACGCTGAGAAGTGTTAATTGGTGCAGAGGAAGAAACATGAACATTTACAGGTTAAAAACGATAAAGCGCAACACTATTTGGAGCAGCATTTGAACGAAATAAAAGACGATGTTTACGCTCTGGCTGTAGTCACATACGCCCTGCATTTGGCCAAGAGCACAAAGAAAAGCGAAGCTCTCAAAATGCTTGAAGCACATAAAATTGAAGACACCGGTGAGTGCATAATCGTTTTTCTCTGCTAGTTTGATGTCAGCATTTTGATCGTTTGCAATTTGTGTGATATGTACGGCCATTTTTCCAGATGGAAGTGCACATTGGACAGCAAAAGCCGGAGGTGAAAAAGCTAAAGACACTCAACAATACTTCTATCAGCCTCGTCCAGTTGACGTTGAAATTAGTTCATACGCATTGCTCACTTATATGCTTAACGATGATAAGGAAAAGGGCCTACCAATCGTAAGGTGGTTAAGCTCACAACGGAACGCACTCGGAGGTTTCAGCAGTACTCAGGTAAAATCCTTCATTTACTCACTCATTTTAAAAATTCCACCTTAATCATCGATTCTGGAATAGTGGGTATGATATGATTGTCTCAGTTCTCATGGTACTGATCTTTTGATTGCATATCGACTCATTTTCATGTCATCTATTCAACAAATTTAGATTGCTATTTATTCAAGCACTTTTCACGGCAGTGTTATAAATTCTAATGAAACAGGATACGGTGATGGCATTGCAAGCATTGGGCGCATACGCTGAGAAAGCTTATTCGCCAACATTCAACGTTTCGATTATTGTAAAGAGTGGTGCAGACAATGAACAATTTGAAGTGACACCTGAAAATGCAATTGTTCTACAGTCTTATGAAGTGCGTTCTTAATTCATTTTCTCTCAGTTTTGTATTGATTGTCATTTGACTTGATCGTTGCGTAACTGCTCCAATTAGTTTGCTTGTGGACGTCGCAAATATATTTTCATATTTTCAACACTTTTCAACCAATATGTTGGGGTGAAAAAGGGAAACTTAAAGATATGCTTCGAGTTCAGATTTCCAGTCTTGATGAGCCACTTCAAATTGAAGCCAAAGGCAATGGTGTAATTTTTGCGCAAGCACAATACTCATACTATCGTGTGGCAACCAAAGACGATATGCCTTTCTATTGTACTAAAGATGTACGCGAAGTTCACGGCGGTAACCGACTGCAACTTGACTTATGTTGCAAGTACGTTTTTCATTTGCCTGGAGGTGGTTTTGTTAAAAATGAACTCGGGATTTTCAGAGATAGGAGCTGAAGGCTTTTGTGAACACGTAGAATTTTAAATTTGATTTTTTTTTCAAGTACTGTTCACAAGAAAATTTGGTAGTTGTATAGTTCAGAGGAGGTAGGCACGCACTGTAATGCGCACGTAGTACATCGCATTGACAGATAATGTGCCAGAAAGGAGTTATTCCTCGAAACGTTCTCAGAGCTCACTACACCCTTTCTAAACGAAAAATCAAATCATCATGAGTGAGTGAATCACAGCAGAGAGGTGCAATTCATAATAAGAAGCATGCATTCTCATTGCAGCTATACTAAGCCTGGACAGCGCTCGAACATGGCTGTGGCTGAAGTGAGTGCGTTAACTGGTTACCGATTCGATGGTGACGAAATCGGACGGCTAACTGATATTGCTGATTTGCAAAGAGCCGAACTCGACAAGGAGGACACAAAAATGAATTTGTATTTTAATCCGGTAGAAGATTTTTCCCATCCTTCGATCGTCATTATTCTTTTGATGTAAAATAATACGCAAGTTGGCTTTTAAAAGATCTGTTGAAAGCCACAAAAGAATGGATGAGGTATGGCTCGGAAAATTCGACTAATGTTTTGAGATGAGTGCAAGATAAAGGAATAGATCTTAGAATGTTTCATATTTGCAGCTCGGATCTACACCGGTATGCTTATCGTTGTTCAGTGATATGGTTTATCAAGTGGCTGATCAAAAGCCTGCTCAAATGGTTCTTTTCGATTACTATGATCCAGAACAACAGGTGATTCCGTCACTGAATTGGTCCATTAGCTGATGACAGTTTCAATCTGTCACCAATCATTCACAGCTTCGCTTCACTCCTCAAAAAATATGTGGGTAGCGCAAAAAAGTGGTGAAAAATTAGCAAGAAATACCGCAAATAATAATGTTTTGCTGATGACAGTTTTAATCTGTTCATCCTGTTCATTCTGAGAGAAACAGTTTTCGAGTTATTTTATGGCCAGTCGATTCAGTTAATGCTTCGTGAAATTGTGAAACGGTTCGTACAATCGAAATGAAGAATGTGAAGATTCGGCGATTTCCTGTCGGAGGTCTTAAGCAGCAATGCAGTTGTAGTGGAGTTATTTGAAGAAGAAATAAAAACAATTTAAGGTGAAATCATCCTATTCGGCTAAACAAGTACGATCACTGCAAGACGCATGTCCTGATTGCTGGCCATCGGTGGAAATAAATGACGAGGGCTCAGGTATGACTGCAACTCGAGCTGATGCATCAAATGCTGCGACGATAACCGCCACATCAGGTGTGCTTCGCCTTGGCGTCTTATCACTACTAATCCATTTCTTAACTCTTACCGTTGTGTGAAGTTGGTTCAGTATGTCAATAGCTAGATAAATATCATAAAAATTCGTCGATTTCAAATAGAAACACTTGTAAAAAGGCTTAAAAAATTATCTATCGATCTAACCAATTTTTCAGTAAGATTTTTTGGTGATACTCATTTGAATTGTTTATTAGTGCCGACGTTTCGTGTGATGCTAGTTTCTGTTTAGCCTTTCATGTGAATATTAACAAAATCTTATCCTTTATGGTGCAGAATTCACATGTAATTGATTAACAGCATCCCTTTGCGAAATCGCTTTACCAAGTCATTTCTCATCACTTCATCGAATCACTTTAATGCCTTCCCATTGACTGTTCGAAATTGCTATCGCTCAGAATGGTTATTTTCGGTCATTGTTTGACTTAGTTCATCGGTAAAGTTGGCCGTTTTAATCGCAGTTTTACATCATCCGAGTCCTTTCGGGACAATGATAGAACAGTGATAACGAAAGGAACACAAATATAGTAGTAGAAGAAAAGTCCTATAAAGTGATCGCAATAAAATATAAATGAAATGCAGAAGCTCTACTGAGGCTTTATTCTGTTATAAGTGCACTATTCTCGAAGTGTGCTTGATTGTCCTAGGTGCGATTATTGCGTAAAGATGATGAGTAGGATGACGTAAATGCATTAATCTATCATATGTATTGAATTGTACGCTAATAATTTGAATGATTTCCTTGCTTCTATCACATTTTGATTGTCGATAGTTCTGAGCATAATGCCACGATTGATCGTCAAACGCTTCGAATGTTATTTGGTTGTGAGTGTGAAGTTGCTTGATTGAACAACGCAACTGAATCGTATAACTAACAGCTTTCTTGTACGTAATTATATTGTTCACTTAAAATTCTTGCTTGGCATTTTGTATTGCGAATTCATCAACATTTTGTTGTTCTTAATTGTTGCATGAGATAGCTTTCAATAAATTCATATGCTCCTTAATATGTATTATATTTATTCATTCAACAAATCATACAAAGCTTCATCCGAACGTAAACATTATTCCATTCCACAGATCATTTCAATTTCATTTACTTACCATAAATTTTCATCTCATTAGTGCTCTAATTAATGCCTTCACTGTGTTGTTCCGCTCCTCCACGGAAGCGATGGGGCTTTGTATTCATCATAAACGCTCTGATATTTACCAAACTTAATTGAGTGGACTCTCGTTATTCACGTGAACACTTAGCTAAAAATTCAATGAAGAACGACGAGAAAAAGTTACGTTCGAATTGCATGATTCACGTCTTTTTTATAGCATTGACTAAAATAATGGAAAATTTCGACAGCGAAATATAGCTGTACACTTTCTTGAGTGCAGCTTTTCTAATTCCTGGTTCTTATCGTCTCTGTTGTGAGAGAATAACGAGAGTTTATCTTTGTAACTTACTATTGTATATGTTTGATGACTATGTCACGGTGCCCAAATTAACTGTTTGATGTGATTTATGCTTAACATTGTATGCAAAGTTTGATTGAGTTTTTTTGTTTTTCACTTCAACAAATCAAGCATGTCCATAGAGTATCTGTTTGACATTGACTGCTCATGCTATCTACGGGCCTACTCCCATCTGAAGTTGGAGAATTTTTGTGGACACAGTTTCCTTCATTCAGTCAACAACAAATACTCAAATTCCATGATGAATTTGCGGTGGTTTTGTGATGGAGGGTTTAGTCGCCAACATGTGAAATGAAACTGTGTGGGCGGGGAAGGAGATAGGTGCTATGTACCTCTACGGCTGTCAGCATCTCAATTCAGTGGGAAAATATTCAAATTATTTGCTGTGTTGAGTGGAAATATGAGATGTGTTGTTGATACGAAAAGTTGAGGTACACGAAATGTACTCTTTTGTGCATGACAATATTCAAAATGTTTATTGTTGATGTTGAAAAAAGAAACGATATTACGAAACTCAATAAAGATTGATATGTGTATATTTGTATGGAAGTCAATCAATCTAATAATTTGCTAACTGTTGGGGGTGCGGGATAGTATTCCAAGGGATGCGAGATAACAGTTCAATTAAAGTTGGTGAGGGTAAAGTTCAACGCGTACATGTTTGTAACATAGATGAGGGAGGACGTACGTATTTTTGAAAACGTTTTATGTACGGATGAAAATCTATCGGGAGTTTAGGCGACTATTACTTTTTTGTACTGTTTTTTCTTTTCCAAATAATCATTTTTTATATGATAATAAAAGTTAGTTATNGGACGTGGATATTTTCAAATTTTTTAGAGGTTGAGGGTGAAAAAAAAAAGGTTAAGAACCATTGCGGTTACGTAATGAAAGAGAATAGACGTTTTCGCTCACACTTTTGTATTTACTAATCTTTAAAAACGGCTTGGTAATGAGCTCGAAGGACAGTTGAATTAGCTTGCATGACAGTGTCTCCAAATTCAAAACTTAACGATCGTTACTTTCATCTCCCTCGAAAACTGAATAACGGTTATTGGCACGCAAATGAATTTATTATTACAACCTTTATAGCTTTTTTGGTAATTGTTCAAGCGGTAACATTTTTAACGTGTTGCGGTAACATACTTTTTGTAAGTGATACATACTGCGCATATTTATCCAAGAATGAATGCACGAATTTCGTGATATTGATTGGTTTTCAGATGAGAAGAAACAGTAGAGATGAATGATGTAATGAGCCAAAGTGAAGGATCGATCGTGTTCCATTTCTGTTTTTTGAGATATTGTGATTGATAATAAATATTATAAATTTGATGTTTATTGCGGTATGAACTGCTGCTGTTCAAAAATGAATTTACTGCTCTATTAAATTACTAAAAATATGTTGTTTTGTAGCATTTTCAAGCAAATACAATTCCATCGACATGTTTCATCATGGCCAAAAGCAAACCTCATCGCTACACAATGGGCATATCTTAGTTTTGCAAATAAAAATATAAACCACAAAGCTCAATAATCTGTTCATTTCGCAAAACAATAAACTGATCACTCAGAATGCAAGATGTATAGTTGTTATGTTTAGAGTCACATTAAATCTCACTCAAAGCGTGATTCTTCATTGCAGTGATCGTTCTTCCAATGAATTTACCACGAATTTGCAGAATATGTGGACCGTATAAGGGAGATACTCAAAGAACATCTTAGACAGATTTGATGAGCAACGCAGATGAAATATTCGTGTGCTGATTAAAGGAATGTTCCTCTGCAACAGTGTTTCTCACGCCTGACAGCTCCATTGCATGTTTCGATGGTCTTGCAGGCCGTCATTACTCGCCCACCCTCCTACTACAAGAATTTAATGTTTCCAAGCACAACGTCAGAAGCAAATCCAGAGCCGATCCGGAAGTCCTCGATATTATGAAAGAAATTAATTTTCTGGAATGGAACAAGTATTTTTGAAGCTTCATTTATCAACTGCCGGAAAATTAAGAACCCCAACAATTAATAAGGAAAAGCGATGGAAAAAAAACCTTCGCCAGCGATGAAAAAAATTGAAAATTTTTACCAGCAATTTCATTTATATTTTCAATTACCCCTTGACACCACCAAATTGTTCCCAGAGCGTAGTTCACCCCGCTGTTAGAAACACTGATCTGGAACGTACGGGTAGTTGGTTGTTGTCGTGGAATTTACGACAAAAATAGAAATCTGATATTCCGGTTCGAATAATCCGTTGACTTGAACAAGAATGACACGATGGTAGTTTCATATTCAGACAGTGCTTTTATTGATAACAACAAACCACAAGTAATGAAAACCTGAAGCAAGGAACATGAAAAACACTTCAATAATAATTCAAGAATAAATAAACAAATTATCTCAGCACGTAACATCTATGAACAATTATGCTAGTAACTGCTGCAATATTCGTAACAAGCGAAGCACCAAATGGTCACTGCGTCGAGATGGTGTGAATGGTTGATGCAGAATCGTGCGGATGGTATCCGAGATGTCGATTACTCTTCTGCCAAGCTAAGAATATGTCTTAGAGACAGAAAATAATGTCACTAGTAAACCGTTATTTACAATAACAGTGCTTCCAATTATCTCGTTAATAGTCGAGATATTCAAGAATGGTAGCAATTGTTAGAGTCAAGGATAACAATTCACTCAGACTGAGTCTTTCAAATAACACTCAGCTCAATGACCAGTTTAAGGTGATGTTTGACCTCTGAATATTTTTGATGTATATTCAGCCCAACTGAATTCGTCTTCATTTGGCGATCACCGTTGAATATTAAATACATCATTGAGACAATAAACAAAATTTGTTTGATAGAATTAGTTGGAAACCGTATGCAAATATTGCATGATTACGATTCAAATTATTAACATAACGCTTGTTGCATTGTCAGTTCGCGATTCTCGCGACAGTTTCGCTGATGTGTTGGAAGTATCGAAAGATGAAACTATCTCGTTGAAAGGACTGAATTCATCATTATCAAACAATTTCTGAATGAGTCAATCAATCTTATCGTACGCATAAAAACGAAAAATATTTTTTACTTAAGTGTTAACATCAAATCATTGCAACAAAGTAATTTCTGAATTTTTTATCAAACGATAATATACGCTTGCTTCATAGCGTATTCTGTGATCGATGCACTAAAGAAATATTGGTGATTTTTGTTTCTTCATTTTGTTTTTCAAAAATTTCCACTTATATTCTCATTAACCTGTTGTCAACAAATGCTACTGCAATTAGTGTTCACTACGCACTATCACTGTTATTAACACTGCTGCCAGTATTATCATCGTTGTCATTGTTTTTTTCATCATAATCATTCCCACCTTACATCAATGTCAATATCTTAATGAATCTCAAGCGTTCCTTTGTAGTATCAGAACGAACGCTTCCTTGTGAGTGCACATAGTTGTTGGCATGTATGTGATAAGTGCTGCTGCAGTGATGTGATCACTTATCAATAGGAATGCAGTCGTGCGAAGCTCTTAACTGTGCCATTTGCGGTGATCACGCCACCGGTAAACACTATGGTGCCATTTCATGTGATGGATGTAAAGGTTATCTTTTAATTCGGCCAGTTTTCATCGATTGCTCTCCTTAAGAATTGAATCTTAGTCAATTCCTCTAGTATTATCATTTAAGCAAGAACTTCATTTCTCCGAATGCTGCTTACTTACAGTCATAATGTGTATCGTGTGTTTAACTTAATCCAAAAAAAAGCTAGCTAATGACTTTGATTATATCATTTATTGCTGTTTTGATCATTATATGCTGTGAAATGACTTTTGAAGTGCTATTTCAGGTTTCTTCCGAAGAACAGTTCGGAAGAGACACGCCTACACGTGTAGATTTGAGCATGCATGTGTTGTTGATAAAGGTATCTTAAAATTGACACTATTGATTTGGAACGATACATTAAAAAGATATATGTCAAGTCGTGAACTTGCTAAAAACCTGCATATTCAGTACACTTGTGCAGACAAAGAATTCATTGTCATCGAGACTTGATAGGAATGTCGATTTGATGAATTTGTATTTATTGGGTTTTATTTATTCATTGATGAATTTGAATGGAACCTCAACTAGCTTCAGAAACCAAACGCAATACTCTTAGTCTAGTTTCTTGACAATTTTTGTAGTTTAAAAATAATCTGTAGGAGTTGAACCGCTTTGCAGTTTATAGCAATCGAAAATTAGCGAATCTTTTTTAATGATAATCAACAATGCAGATGTTCCTAACGCCGTAAGAAATTGCTAATTGTAAACTATTTCAAAATTACCTCCGTCTTTCAGGACAAGTTATATGTCATCTTGTAGAGCTCGTGCAGTCGATCATGCATATGCAAGAAATTTTTGTGGAATACAAAGAGGGCGTGAGATATGGGGAATAATAGTTACCATTGCCCTGAAGTAACGTTTTGAATGGTCAAGTTGTGACAGCGTCGTGGCATAATAGGTAGTGCGCTAGGCTCAGGTCTGAAGATCAGTAGGTTTTGATCCATTTGATGGGGAAGTTCTTTCTTGATGGCTAACATTGAAAAGAAATTGTGGTTAACCAATTAACAACCAACAACCGTTCATCTTTATGTATCAAAAGATGATGAATCATTAAGTCGCCTTCGTCCAGGATCTTTTAATTGACCTGATCCAGGTCAATTTATAATCTTTTTGTGAAAACGAAATTTTGTGAAAATGAAATGTTTCCACTAACATACCAAAAAGTTGTGGGAACGGAAGCAAAATATCATGGTTACTTGAATATGCTATAAATGCCGCTAATTTCTTTCCATCCACGAGAAAACAAACTTTCTCACCACTCTGATCCGATTCCCGGGGCTTCAGACTTGAGCTCAACGCACTATCCACTAATGATGGCATCCGACCGGCATTCAGTCGTAAAAATCCGACATATTTCGGTCAGAATTTCGACTGAAGGATTCTAAAATTTGATCGAAATTCGGAATGTCAGAATTTTGAAGAGTCGATTTGATCGGATTCCGACGGAACGAAATTTCCTTCGAATGTCATTACCACCATCCACTAATCTACGATGCTGNCCCCGGTTGACCATTCAAAATGTTACTTCCATGCACTAAAACTTTTATTCTCCCATATCTCACGTTCCATCTGAATTTCACATGACCAGCTACAAAAGCTCTACAATATGATATATAACACTTACCGAAAGGTAGGGGAAGGGATAGTCTTGTGACCTTTTCTTGTTAGTAAACGATATTTAAGCTAGTGTTATCGAATTTAATGCTTATATTGTTGAGTTGAATACATAGCACTTTGTTTAGTTAGGTTTTTTTCCGGATTGAGCAATTTTCAATCACTAAACATGACTTTCAATGAAAGTGTGATTTCTGAAGATCACAGAAATGTGTGTCGTCGATGTCGTTTCGATCAATGCCTCAGGAGTGGCATGAAACGTGAAGCGGTACAAAACGAACGAGATAGAATCGTTTCACACCGATCACAGCCTATTGATAGAAGTTATTCTGAAGCATATATTGATGCACTGCTTAAGGTCATTTCAAACAATCAATCACTCTGTTTCCTTGCACACCACTTCAAATTTTGCACTTACTGCGATGAATTACAGTTATGCTGACATCTGTTCAACGTTAAATACTGTTTTGTTTTTAAGTGTAGAAAAGCTGAAAGTAAATCATAAGCTGTTGTAGCATTTAAAAGGAGCTCTAACATCCAGAAGATTAATGAGGCTTTCATCATGCAGGCAGAACGGGCTACCCATTCATTACGCGCAACAGTTATCACCAGGACTGCAGATGCACGCAGAATTGCAACAACGTTCGACGTTTCAGAAAGTATGCATCAACAGTTGATCTTGATGGTTGAATGGGCGAAGAATCTTAATCAGTTCATTAACTTACCGATGAATGTTCAAATTGCGCTGCTCAGAAACTTTTCTGCTCAGCATCTTGTCATTTGTGCTGGATTTCGGTTAATCTTCAATTTCTTACTTCTTTATTATCCTCAGAAACCGAATTATTCGATCAACCACTAAACTTGAAGTGGACAGATAACTTTCGCTAATTGTCCTACGACTGTTTATTGCATTGACTACTGCTATTGCCGTTATTTCAACTTTCTTTATACTATTATGCGCATTATTACCTCAGCAGTAATATCACTGTTATTATTATTGGTTGTTGCTATTATTATTGTATTGATTTCATTACATTCAATCAATGAGGGAATAAATTTTCATAGACAAAACCTTCGACACAGTGAAAATCTTTCAGATCAATGCATGTGCAAGACGCAATTTGGCTAACCAATGACTCGTGCCTGCATCGAGATGCACCAGCAGTACCTGATGTAAAGTGGGTTTATTAGGAGGTTTATTCAATGTGATCTGATTCTCTTTCCAGTTGATTACGATTTAATCACGGAAAATGTGTGAGTGATTCAGTTAGCGTTTGAATATATCCGTAGCGCTCTGCAGCAAATATGAGTGACGCTCCATATAACAACTTTTAACTCAAAAATTCGCTTTGAGCCATCAAGTATTTCATTATTTGTCATTTCTAACGTATTTGCTCTTCATTCATAAGGAAAGTTCATTTTAAAACGAACAACCATATTCAATGCAAAGATGTCATCAAGTGAACCTTCCTCATGAATATTTCAATATTCCATTAACAATAAGCGATAAGCTGTGAAAATTGTAGTCAAGTTGCATCCCGTATAGTTGATCATTTAACACAACCAATGCGTTGTCTACATATGGATGAAAGTGAGTATGTGTCAATGAAAGCAGTCGCTTTATTCGATCCATGTAAGTTACTTGACCGGTTGATTATTCATTTTCGAAATTTCACTTTAATACTCTAACAGATTGCCTAGCACGTCAAATTTGCGTCTAATCAACGACTGACTGGATGAAATTAAATTTGAATGTTTCAAACATCCCCAAAGGAATATTTGAATTTTAGTGGTAAAAGGAGTGGAAAATTACTCCACAACAATAGAACGAATACGGCAACAAGTTTTATGTGCACTCGAAAATCACGTTACGAAGGTAGTATTTTACATCCTTTACCAAATTATTCAACTCTCTTTTCAAATTTATCAGCATCTTTATTTTCAATTCACACGCTACTATTTAGCAAATCAAATAAACTGAAATTGATGCCCACTCAAAGAAGCAATATCATCGTCATGCTATTGATGCATCAGTCGGAAACTTAGTTTCTGAACCCAAGCTATCACTCATTCGAGAAATTAGCTTCAAGCAGAGGTTTTGCGTTTAAAGACGACCTGCCTTTAGGTGTCACCATACCGTGACATGCCTCAAAGATTGGCGAAACTCCTGCTTCTGTTACCGCCAATATTGGCGATTGCTCGTGATCTTGTGGAAGATGTTCAACTGTGTAAACTGTTTGGATTAGCGAATGTGGACAGTTTGATGCAGGAATTACTGCTGCCAGACGACACCGAATCAATCAGCTCGTAGCTGTCAATCTCTGAAACTGTTGATATCACCAGCTGATTGCATCTACTGACTCGCTTCAACCCACACTTCCATCCAAATTTAATGTAAATTGACTTTTTGTATATGGGAAACATAAAATTGCACTACTATCATTCCTTTACATTACGAGCAGTCAACTGAACAACGCTGAATTGGCAATTAATAAGATTTGATTTAATGCGTGTGAAAGCGATTCGAAAAACGAACGGTAATCGTTGAAACGCTGTTTTGAATGATTCCAATGACGAAGAATAAACTGGTAAAAGAGGTAAGAGGATAGCAGCAAAGCAGAAAGAGTACAACAATCAGCTTTTTGCTCACAATCAAATAACTGATCAGATGAGCTGCACTACTGACAATGAGCAATAAATCAACATTTTGTGCGAACTGAAATCATTATTATATTCATTAATGATGCAAACTGAGCGACACTGATGATTTATCATTTATAATGAAGAAATTTGACAACGACATTATAAGAACACATTAAAAGGGAAAGTGAACAATTCTATTCGAAAAGTGACAGAGAAGAACCATCAGTGATGGAAAATCGATTGAAATAACAACGAAATAATGAAATCGACCTGTTCTGACGGTATGGTTGTGGAACGTGCAGCAACGTAAGCCAGATTAGTAGCAGTGACAGAAAATGACTTTCGAAAAGGATTATCAAAAGACTGCAGACATAATTTACGAAGTTATTCTCCTAAAACATCAACTACTCTAACATCCTCTTTCATTACCAAAATCAGTAGCTGATAACATACAGCATATAGTGATTTAGTTTTCAAGGTTTCAACGTACCGCAAAATCTAAATATTCAATCACCTGCTCGCTTTAGTTTCGATTCTTTTTATTCCAAATGATATCAACTGATGATAGATGGTCAATGACAAGCTCTAATTTGCAAGCCAATACAAATGACATTATGAAACCACACTTAAGTGACCGTGTAACTCAGTGATTCTCATAGGGGGTGGGCGGGGGGGGGGGGAGGTAATGGGGTCGGGTAAAGAAATTAATATTTCGCGCAGTTGTTATGTTATGATAGCACGTCATTGTTGTTTTTTCACTTGGGTATGTCAACGGCGGCCTACCACATCGTGAAAAGGAGTAATGGAGAGCCCAAGCGTGAGAACCACTGGTATAACTGGAATATAAAGTATGGTGAAGGTTGATAAGGTAAAGTTGTTAAAAACAACTTCGATCCTACTTATCGGACGAATTTTGCAATAATTAGTTCCATTTAAGCAACCCTTCAACGCGAAGAACAAACTGACGAATCCACGCAACGAAATAAACATGAGACATCACATGAATGAAAAGCAATCATACGTGTAGCTTTGAATGCATCAAAATAAAATAAATATTCACTTATATGATCATTATGACCAAAGAGTATCAAGAGCGTTTTCTATCCACAAGGTACCATACTGTACAAAGGATAGGTGGAAACGCTTGATGAAAGTGAACGCTGACATGCAAACGAACTAAATAATGTTCAGAACCGAGCATACGACTAGCTGTAAATAACAAGCGTTCAACGCTCACGTACAACCAGAAGAAGAGGAAGCCATATATGATATTTTGGAAATCTATGTATCAGGCCGCTTCAAAGATACGACATATATCATATAAATGTGNCGCTGACATGCAAACGAACTAAATAATGTTCAGAACCGAGCATACGGCTAGCTGTAAATAACAAGCGTTCAGCGCTCACGTACAACCAGAAGAAGAGGAAGCCATACATGATATTTTGGAAATCTATGTATCAGGCCGCTTCAAAGATACGACATATATCATATAAATGTGTCACATCCACAATTAACTCTGCTGATCCTTCCTGAGAAGGATCAGTGATACGGAACCACTGAGTACATATTACAGATGAATCTGGACTCAAATCGGTAACTAGAACCACAGATTGGGACTTATGTCGAAAAAAACGCACGTTGAAATGAATCCTTACAAACTTCCAATCCTGTGCTGTACGTTAGCAAATTTATACAATAAATAGCAATACATTACAGTTAGATTAGATTTTTATCGTTTGTCACGTAAGCAAATTAAATATTTCAAAGCAGTGGAATGAGCACGTTGAAACGAGGATACTGAAATAAGATAAAATGGAAGAAATGTACAGCAACAGTTCATTACTTTAGGAAATAACCGTAACTGGAGAGACTGGATTATAACAGATGTGATTCGTTTCTCGTTCGTTCATTCGTTCAAGACCACAGCTCATTTGGTAGACACCAGGATCTGACATGCCTAAATGTATTTTGATCTACAAAAATATTTGTTCTTTTCTGAAAGTTCAAAAAATAACTGATGAAAACAAATTTTCCTTAATTGCCTCAGCCTTTCTTAATTTTCGAATTTTCACAACCAATAATAGTGAAAATAATCATTGAGTTTCTATACAAACCAGGTTAAATCAAATTCTGCAAATTTAATCCACCCCTGAAATCGCTCATAAAACTTGAATGCTTAAAACTGATTATTTCCTAAAATGATACGAGTTTCACATCATTACTTTGAAATAGATCATTCTCTACCACTGGCAATATTTAAATAGAAATAGAATATGGCAACAATTATAAATTAGGAACTGAAAATATTTCACGGGAGAAACGACGATCAATTTTCATCTAAAGAATAATGTGGATGAATGAGGTCAACCGTAGTATAATGAATCGTAACTAAATCTTAAAACCTTCTATACAAAGATACGAGTAAGTGAAGAGAATAAAGGCCTCAGAGTTGACTAAATGGTAAAGAACAATCGGGATCTGATGTAAGACCATAAAAGCACCGGTATTTGAAGGAATTACAGTGATATGAGTAGTACAGTTGTAGTGTTTGTGCATGTTCCTATAATGATACCGCTTCGAAAATATCACTGTTGACAATAAACGTTTTGAAACCACTTGACTTATATCCGGAAATACTTCTAACAGCAATCATATGAATAAATAGATGCGAAATTTAGAAACACTATTAAATTTAGTAAGACACGTTCAAACACTACTTAATGACATTGAAGCTGTACGAAACAACCGGCTGGAACGTTTCTATTCATAGTAATCTGCATGTAAATACTATTACATGACAGATATTTTTTTACAAATTACATATTACAAGTGAATACCATGGTGAGGAATTCTTCATATCCAACTGTTATGATGCCATCCCTATCCGTATCTTTATCTTTGAATGACGCAGTTAACGTTTGTAGTACGACGCACAACTGAATGAAGTCATCGAAATTGACACGATACGTATGTGTACGGTCGAATTTAGTCATCAGCAAATCAACGAATTGATCACTTAAACGATATCCTGAAAACTTGCGTCAACTTCAAGAGTGGCATTATATTCAATGTTGCATTCTTGTTTCAGGGGTAAATCAAAAATCAATCATCATTTGTATGCATCCCAATCATTTCGTATTACATCGAAATTCACTAGGAACAGCGATGTCTAGATGGATGAGGGCGAATCAGATGGTTGAAGAACACACCAAACTGTTTCAGCGCAGCAGAAAGTTCAAATTTATCAATGTTGCCCGAGCCGTCACGATCAAATGATCGGAAACATTGCGTCCACTGGTTTATATAATCCCAAAGCGCAGAAAATTCAGCAAAATCAATCGCTCCATCACGATCCGAATCGAACATCCCTGCAATAATCACGTGTTTACTGCTTGAAACGGCTTAAATGCGCCCCAAAATTTTCTAAACGCACTGGTATACACTACTGATCTTCATTGGAAAGATGCACTTCAGAAGTTATCTCCATTCGCAATCTTATAATAAGAACGCATTTTTGCACTTATGCTCTGAAGCAGTCACAACGATACATGAAAGCGTGTCATAGTCATAGACAAGCATGCAAGTGGTCACAAAAACTGTTGTAGTGGATATGGTTAGCGAACCTATCATGAGTCTGCAAGTTTCTGGATTGAATGGTGTCCATGTTCCATTCGAGAGTGCCCTTTGAAGCTCATCAGCACTTATACGGCCTGATCGATCTGCGTCAACGCTATTGAAGATAGCTGACAGTGAAACAGCTGCCATGATGCTGAAATTTTACTTCAGTTGCGAAAACTGTCTTCATATCATCTCAGTACCTCGAAAATGACAAAAAAAAGATAAATAACTTAGATGACTAGCAGCAGAAAACAATTTAGTCTGCATCAAAACTCCAGACAAACTCTTCCCGATTCCCAACATCGAATGATTGTCATGCTACTATCATGACTCATCTTGGTTACTTGATGAGACCACATTCAACTACACGGACAATCTAATTCAAATACTCGATGGAAGAGGTGCAGGTGCAAAAAATGTCCGTTTGAAAATTAATGACCACTTGGACAAGCTACGAGCAAGCATACAATCTCAAGTGCGTTTAAAATCGCTCGTTGAATTTTGAAACGTGAGGGGTATAGTAGAACTTTGTGATGACATTTGAGCAAAATTTTACATCGGTCGGAATCCGATCGACATGAAATTTCATCATTCCGGCAATCGCAATTCCGACTGACTATAGAAACTGCACGGTCAGAATCCGACAGAACTGACTTTTGAGTTTCCGACTGACGAAATTGTTCGGTCAGAATCTGAACGAATTGACATTACAACATTCCGACAGTCGGAATTTCGATCAACTGTCAGAATTGTACCGTCGGAATCTGACCGAATTAACATTTTGAATTTCCGACAGTCGGAATTCCAACCTACCTTCCAAATGTCAGAATTCCAACCGAAATTGTTGGATTTTGATTTTTTCGGGCGACCGTCAGTCGGATGCTATGATTAGTTCAAATGTAATGAATTTAATATGTGACACATGCGTGTTCGACTTAAACTGAGTGTATTGCTTTCGGCAATAAATACAGATACAGCAGCAGTTGCATCGTTCAACAGAAATAATCGCGTGAATCTCATTCAGTGCTAGATATCAGTCATACATTTTTGTACGTCATGTGATTACAATTTCATCGTTGAACATTCATTCGATAGAAGGGCAGTCAATATATAATATTTTATAAATTACGTTTATTTGACTGAAATTGTGTCATAATCTTTTACTTTTTAGCTTAACAGTGATGTTGATCATCATAATTGCTGAGAAACATGCTCTCACTAAGCAATCAAAACGAGCAGATAAGTGGTATCGAAGTGAAGGAAAATACGAGAGAACGAAAATCTTCTGATGATATCGCATAAATTCATTCTTTTGCTGAAATCAGCAATTTCTTGGTAATAATGACAACATGAAGTGGTTTACGAATTTTTAATAGTCCGATTGAAAAATGGATTCATTGTTCACGTTTCGCATTATCATTTATCTAAAAACAATTCAGGACCTCCGAAATCAAAAGATGTGATATTCTCTCGTATGCTTCGGTTGAGAGAGCAACGAGATTTCTTGGAAATCGAAAGAAAATACTGCATAAGATATTCTCGAGAGAAATCGTAATGTGATGTATCTTTACAGTGATCAATTATTCATTGTAACAGAACGATCAAGTAGAATCCGTCAAAACTCTTATGTTTATCAGCCAGAGCTCAAAAACAGAATCCAGAATGGCAGTAATAGTATGTAGTTGCTGATGAATTGAACTCAACACCAAACTGGAAGTTTTCAACGATCATTCTCAAGCATCTACTTAAATTCAAAATCAAGTTTTAGAAATTAAAATTCAGCCTTCTGATATTCGTATCCATCGAATCGCTATCGTTGCTAATGACATGTATTTGGCCACACAAATTCGCAACTGCAACATTTTCGTGTATCTCTTGGGAATAGGTAATTCATTTCAGGTTCCATGTACTCTTAGGTTTGCCATACATCTAGGGCATCTCATGGCACCATCCGACAGAAGAAAATTCTAGTTTGTGGGAACAGTATACATGCCAATGATGGATACTCTGTCGTTTTTGAGATACAGCTAATTCAATGAAAAACCAAAATCATTATGCATGATCCCATGGTAACCAATGAGATTGATTATTTTGATAGCGCAAAACGAGAGTACATCATAATATCAAGTAATAATTGGTAAGATACATTTCAAGTTCGCAAACTTATTCAGGATTCTCATGCTTTTGATAGTGCTGCTGATTTTCATCAATTTCGCTGTGAATTCTCATTATTTATGTGCATTTCTGGTCAATCTTCCTTTCAATTCTCCCGTTCTTTCCGCAGTGTTACTATAGGATCATATTGCTGTTAGTTATAGATCAGTGCACGATCAATTGTAATAAAGCCATTCAAACAGAGATATGGCCCGGCTTGACAGCATCTCTGAAAATGACTAAAAGTTCGTTGCAGCGATTGAGAAAACGACCGAAAAGTTGGAAATGAAATTGAGAAAGAAACCAAAAATGCCTATAGAAAATGCGAGTTCTTACTGGAACTCAAGAAAGAATGAGATGAAATCAGCAGTGCTACCGAACGATGCAAACACCAAAACTGCAACGTTGATATTGATTTACTGAATGTAATTCAACGTGCGCTGAAATAATGAGATGCGAAGTAACAAAAGTAAGAGGCTGATGAGAATACTTACGTTTATGAGAGATGTTGCGGCCATTTGGGGCAGCGACGTCACCCTATAGGGCAAATGCTCATCATTTCACTGAATAGCAGGAACATCTCAGGTACTTTTTAGATTCGATGGCTCCAGTCACATTTCCAAACGGCTCATCCTTATTACAGTATGATCACATACCAACATTTGATTTTTATACGAGGCTGAATCTTTAAAAAATCAAATATCCAGCTAACAATATATACCCTCCATAAAGTAGATCTCATTTTCTATTATATAAGATGAATATGTGAATCATAATCAAGCTGAGTGAAGTTGAGGGTATAGGTCAATTGAAAATGATGTATGTGACAATTATAGAAAATAGCAATTTAATTAGATGGAACGAGATGTAATTATTACGGGATAATGAATCACAAGAGATCTTATTTTTTTCATGACAACATNCATACTTTTTATAAACCAGAAATCTTGATCTGTAAGATGTACCTCTCGAAATGTAATGTCTGATATTTCTCGCGACAGAGAATTTTTTCTTGTAAGTGAGGGCCCCGACTTCTCCTCTTATGCCATGACTTACATACCGAGAAGGCTTCAGTTAATGCTCGGTTAAAATCCATTTCAAATTGCTCGTGTTAACCGTCTTCAAGGATTTTAGAAAATTCTTTACTCTTATAAAATCGTACATGTGAGGTGATTAAGCCACCTGTAACACTGTTAGGATTCTTAGGACTGGTGAATTTTGCTATGCAGTTATATTGCTTAGCTGTCACTTTCAAATGACTATTCATTTCATAACTGAAAGTGGAACAGAAATGTTTTGGAAGAAAGCATCCAACTGAAGAGCGCATATGTCCATAACCATGTATCACCAAAGGATGATGAGAGGAACGGAATGATTCCCGGTGGAAGTGCTGTCAGTGCGCTTTTTTGATGAAACAGTGATGATGCCGAATTTTTTTTTTGAGGAGGGACTGAACGATTCTCTCTCTTACTGCACCATTGGACTGAAGAAATCGCCCAGCAAAGGCAACATCCACTCCATGCATATGCAGTTAGCCAAATTAACCAAATCCTATTGCCGAATCTTTTCCATCGTTGATTCTTTTACAAACATATGTATGTAAACGCTTGAATATATGTTTGGAAGAGCGATAAAATACAATAAATAAATTGAATTTATGCGGAAGATAAAGAAGGCTCATTCAATTTTATGAGATTCGAATGAGCCATTTGCGACACTATATGCTGAATATTCGAATTCGCATGCATACACACCACTCCAAGGAGCATTATAGCACGTTAGCATTTCATCGTAGCCCAGGGAACACAACACACAATACAACAACATCTTCATGCAGCACAAACTATGTAGCCACTAGCTAGGGCACGAACAACAACGACTATTACAACTGCATGAAACATTCTATTCATCACCCATCTATCAATATCTGTTCTCGATTCAGCCATTCAACCAACCATATTCACATTCGCCTACTGTTCTTTGTTCATCGTTATTTCAAACTTTTTAACACGTCGTCGACGATAAGCTTCAGTTTCATTTCTATATTCGTTAAATGACAAAGTCGGTCAGTCAGTAAGGCGTTTGCTTTATCACTTGTGCGATCTAAGCCAATATTCAATAAAACAATGTCAACGTCCGCTTTGATGCACACACCCACTCCTGAGCATCACGAATGTGTTGTTGATCTTATACTTCCGGAACGTACCAAAAGCAATCTTGCTTTATCATCAACCGAGCTCGAAATGCCTAATCAGGTCTTTTTCATTTCGATTCGTTTTCATCATTCCATTGCAGTATCTTTTTCTTTTATGGAGCACATCTGATCATTCCTTTTATACATTTACTTGTTTCAGTGAGCATCAAGTGACGCATTAATATGTTATCTCAACAAATTCGTTTTATTTCCACAATACACTTCACTGTTTATTAGTTATTGCCATAAGTATCATTCATTATTTCCCGACGTTTATTATGCAGCATTAACTAAATGAATAT